GCTGCGTGTGACGTCATCCTTGAGCTGTGTCAGTGGGCAGCCCGTTCATAATAAGAGTATCAATAGCTGTCAGCGTTGCTAACTTAGCAACTTTTTCACTAAATTTAGCCAGTTTTCAGACCCCTCTAGTGACATTTTTTTTAAAAAGCGGCTTGCAACAAATCTAGCGACTTTTTGAGGCACTATTGAAGACTAAAATATTACGTCTTATTGTCATTTCACAGCAGCCCATAGCTACTTTTCTTAAGGAGGAGTTAGCAACAGTGAGATACGCCAGTAACATGCAGAAGTGCAAATGTATATAATGACTCATTTGTCAATTAATTTTTCCCAATAGCCTACAGAACAGACATTGTTTCGTTCATTACTGAGGCTAACTGAGTATCATGTGTTATTGGGAGGTGAGAGTTATTGTTAACTCTAATTGTTAAGGGATGTTTAGATGAGACATTTCTTTCATTGTGCTATTCGTTTATTACAAGAATTGTTAAGCATTTTTTAATAAATACATTTTGAATAAAATTATCAATTAGAGTTACTGTTGTTGACTTTTACTGAAAAGCGTTTTTGTACGTAATTTAATATAATTTTCCAATATACAACGGAACAATGTCTAAATCGCCCGTCCCAGAGGATTATAAAAAAAATTAAGCACACACTCGCCGTTCTGTATTGCCATTACAGATGTGTGAAGGAATAAAGAAATTAGCTTTATTTGCATGAACAAGCTTTTTTCCTCAGAAAGTAGTACACTTCAGTCAGCTCTGGTTCAGTTAACACCATAGACCGTAAACTGCAGTTAATAAATATAAAAACCTAGCAAAAAATGAACCCTGAAAGCTTACCTAACTTACAAAATCCGTATCTCTTGTTTGACACAATAAACGATAAACAGACATGTTTCACAGATAAAGGAAAACTCTTACCAAACTCGAAGAAAATGGCAGACCAACTGCCTCGAGGAGAGATGTTCCCGCTTAGCCTCTTCTTCTTCTTGGGTTTTACGAATGTAGAAAAAAACAACGCACCAGGGGCATACTGCCACCTACTGTCGGAATCTTTTATGATGAAGACAGGTCGGAGCACAAGCAGGCAGAAAACTAGGATGATTGCTGGAAGTTCTTACCGATAAAGGTTCGAGACGTTCTGGCATTGAAGTCTGGCTGAAGAGGAGCTTAAGTAGGGGTGGAAACAGGTGGGAACGATGATGGTGATTGCGGGTGTGGGTGGTGGTCAGGAGTGCCAGTAGGTGGAGCCAGCCCCAGTGCCGGGAGCATTACAGAGCCCCTCCCTCAAGGGCGGATTCCAGACGCCCTACGTTGGTCTGGGTGGGCTCGGTGGAAGTCCCTGAGAAGGGATTTGTCCAGGACGCGACTTGATGGGACCCACTGGCGTTCCTCCGGACCATAACCCTCCCAATCGATAAGGTATTGGGTGCCCCTGCCCCACGTTCGGGACTTCAGGATCCTCCTAACCGTGTACGCCGGGGAACCATCAACAAGACGGGCGGGCGGCGGGGACGTGGAGGCGGGAGCCAGACTCGAGGAGACGACAGGCTTGACCCGGGAGATGTGGAATGTGGGATGAATCCTCATCGACGGGGGTAGGCGGAGGCGGACCGCCACGGGGTTTACCACCTTGGAGATGGGGAACGGCCCGATAAATCGGGGTGCCAATATCTTGCTCCCCACCTTAAGGGGAAGATCCCTTGTGGAGAGCCAAACCCTATCTCCCACCTGATAATGCGGGCCAGGACGCCGCCGGCGATTAGCAGCGCGGGCCTGGATCTGAGAGGCAGCAAGGATGGCCCTCCTGGCCCTTCTCCAGGCACGATGGCACCTCAGGGCGGACAGGCGGGCAGAATCGACCCTGGACTCCACCTCCTCGGTGGAGAATACCGGTGGCTGGAAACCATAAACCACATAAAAAGGTGAAAGCCCTGTGGAGGAGGAGGGCGTGGCGTTAATGGCATGTTCTACCCACAGTTCTGGGCCCATTTAGTGGAGTCAGATCGACAGAGAAGGCGGAGCTTAGTCTCGACCTCCTGATTGGCCCTCTCTGTCTGGCCATCTGTCTGGGGGTGGAAGCCGGAGGAGAGGC